AGGCATTTCATCTATAATCTACAGGACTGAGTGACCTGAACCATCAATAAGTAAGTGGGGCCAGACAGGACAGCTGCCTCTCCTCCAAAGGCATCAGGGGTGACTTCTGAATGCCCACGACATAGGGAATACTGTGGCCACAAGCAGAGCTCTCAAACCTCAGCAGCCCAGACTCATGGTATGGGAACCCAGTTGAGACAACATGGCACACACAAGCAAAGAAAAGCAAAACAGGACGAGAAATGCAGACAGCAGGGGACGATGGTGACAGCACGAAATACAAGCCTCACAAAAGGACCCAGCCGTCAGGTGCCTCCGTGCCGGGGGTCAACATCCATGGTTCGCACCACAGACAACACACTGGGCTCCGCAGGCCCAGCGCCAGTCTAGACAGTCCCCAGGAGTGGCAGGAGAAAGAGACGAGGTGAGACTGCTGGACCCCAAAGGCCAGAGCGGACCCAGGGAGCATGGCCCTCCACACATGTGGACCACTAAGGCACGCGGCTCGTTATCTGACACAAATGCTGCTGCCACGAGACAGCCAATGAGAAACCGGGCGGTTTCTGTGCCGTCACTACTTTGGAGTCAGGTGCTGGATAATCAGAGGTCGGAGGTGGGGGTGGGGAGGGATGTGCAACTCTAACAATAAAGCCAAGTGGGCTTTTCTTTCCTCTCATCATGACTGATAATTTTTTTTGTGTGCCACTATACCAAATAATCTCCTAACAGAAGACTACACAGCAAAAACATATAAATAGGGAGAGCAGATGTAATTCATTGCTACCACTTGCCTAGCATGCACATGGCTCTGGGTCCCATCCTCTCAGGCCACGCACACAGCCCCTGAATAACAGCATCACCTTAGGCACAGAGCCCATCATACTGAGTTATCTGCCCCGGTACAGCCCCTACAGCGAGGGAAAGTGTTTACGTTTTTCAGTAATGGAGCTTATGAGCTGGCTAAGAAACCACCAAGACAACGAGCAACCTGGATCCACTAAGTTCAAAGAAGGTCATCCTCAGGAACGCCTCTGAAATTAATATGAAAAACACCCCACTCTGTGGGTGAGAGAGCTGGTAACAAAGATACCGTATGCTGGGCCCGGATACAGCCCAGTGACTAGAACACGTGTTTAGCACATGCAAGGTCCTGGGTTCAATCTCTAGCAACAAGAACAAAGTGAATTAACAAGTTAAGTAGTGGGAGGATTCATACCTAGACACTTAAGAGACAAGAGGGTCTGGCAGCTTGTAACCATTAATGAATGATGAGTAACAACTTCATCACTTAGAGTCCCATAAGAAAAAGTTAAGAGAAAAAAAAAAACACTTCTGTATAAATAATCAATATTGAGCAAATCTATTGTTCCTTGAGCACATCCTGATGGTCACCTCTCTGACAACTTTTAGGTTCCAAAGCCACTTTTCAGTCTTCCTGAATGGAAGGCATAAAATTTACCTAACACTTATAAAGATTCTCCAGACTCCTATGACATACACAAGGCAATCTTCTGAAAATAATTCTAAATTCCTTGAAAAGAATTTCTTCCAAATGACCTTCTTCAGAACACTCTGTATCTCAGACACACACACATCCCTCATCCCTGCCCAGGCATATCCACACTGGTACAGTATCTCACGGGCACACACATGGAGATGATATATGCAGAAAATTATTGTGCACACTAGTTTCACTTTCACCACAGCATTGATTAAAATACCTTAGCTATCAATGTCTCTGTGGTGAGTATTCCGGAATGGCACCTTCTCAGCCTTAACCATTTTTAGAACAAACTACACTAAGCACATGAAGTAAAATCAAGCCAGAAACTGGGCATTTCATAAAATTACTTTTGAGCCTATAAATGAAGTAATGTTATCATAGGCCTTGACATTTCCAATTCTGGGCACAAAGAATATATCTTTCACGAAGGCAGAAGCAAATAATGTCTATAATTTATTCTCTTTCTCCGTTAGCTTCCACCCCTACCCAGTTAAGACATGGAGACTCCAATTGAGCCAAAATACAAAGGCGCATCAGTGCATCTTAACCTGGGAAACTCTGCTTCCCAGGAATACTTGGAGACATGCTCATTTGGTAAAACTGGTGGTTGGAGCCAGGTCCAATGGAAGACATCAGTTACTGTGTAGCTCCAGCTAACTCAGGGATGAAACAGGAGGATGGCTTGAGTGGAGGAACCTGAGGCAACATGGCAAGACCTTATTTTTAAATAAATAAACAAACAGAATAAAAACACCCACAGTAGTAGTGACCCAGTGGCAGTCAAAGTGTCACGGACATCCAAGGGGTAGAGACCAGGAACGATATTCAGCATACTGCAGTAAACAGGGCAGGCCCCCATCATGAAGAATTCTCTGGCCCAAAGGTCACCCATGCCATTGTTAAGCATCTGACACTCACAAATAGGACTATTTAAAATAAACACATCAAGTGCTAAGTGTGGGTCTCAGCTAAGGTCATGAATGATTTTGACTTTGGGTTTTGGTGGTGGTTGTGGTAGTGGTGGTGGTGGTGGTGCCCCCTTATCAAAACAGATGTATTATTTAGAATCAAGGGTAAAAAATCCATTTGGTAATACACTTTTAGGAGAAAGACTACTTGCTGGTGGTGCTCCTCAAAAGGTGGGGCTCCTGCAGCCTGCTGGCCTTTCAGAAAAAGGAAATTATTTTCTAAAGAAAAAAAAAAAAAAAAAACATCACCTCTCTGCCTGTCAGCTGTTATTCATTAGCCCTGGTCAAATGAATATTCCAAGTATCTCAAAGCCAGTGCTGCCAATGCTTCACATAAGAGAGGGATAGATACCTGGAGACTTAAAGAAGTTATAGCGATGTGGATGCTGCCACCAACATGGAAAGTAACGAACACTTTGAAATTACCACATGCAAGTTAATATTCTCTTAGCATTCAACAAACACCCCCCCCCCAATGCATTTTGGGTCTCTCCTGCACTGCTGGTGAAAACATCAAAATTTTGTTTAAACGGGTACCTTTTGGAAGTCAATGTGAATTTCTTGCATAATTGAAACATTCTATTCAAGACAAAAGCTTTGCAACATCCGTTGCAGCCTGAAGCCCTCTATGCTACAGATTCCCCAATAAAACGACAGCAATTATTTTTCCACATGTAATCATTCTATCATCGTTGGGGGGGGTGGGGGTGAAAAAACCTGAAATTCAGGTTCTTAAGTGGGTGTATCCTAACAGGAATTAAAGGCACTTGGAGAAAATCCAAGATTATACTCCTTTATAAAGTCACTTCTTCATCCCAAAGCTACTTAGGCTAATGGCAACTACCACTCACTAACATTTATGAAATCAATATTCCCATTGTGTTCAGCCCTCCAGCCACTTGCCATCCACACCACACCCGCTTACTTAGAGACAGCAGTACAGACCCAGAACCAAGTCCTCCGCCCACCCTGGACCACTAGCAGGCCAAGGAATCCGCCCCGAGCCAGGCGCGAGGCAGTGCGACACACAACCCTGCTGAGGTGGCCTGGGCACCCACCTTCTGAACTTGGGGCGGGCCTGACTCACACCCTGTCACATGGCGCGGGAGGAGGCCGGAGGGCCACCGTTGCCAGGTGTTCAGGCTCGGCACGACCGTTTATTTGCCTTGCAAAGTGACCCGAACGCTCCTGTGCCACTGGGGGAAGGCCGGGCTGCCTCCAGGCCTCTCCTCCCTCGCACGCCTACCCCCGCCCTGTCACCTGGTCCTCCTCACCTGAGTGGGCAGCAGGAGTTCCCCTTCTTCTGCCTGCCACAGCTCCACCACGTTCGGCAAGGGCTCAATCGCTGCACGGACACCAAAAGACACACCGCGTTTGTAATGCACGGAAAAGAAACGCTTCCTGTTTCCTCACCCGTCCCCCCGTGCCACCCGCCTGCCCCAAACAAGTCTCCTTCTCCTCCCGCAGCGGAGGCCACCCGAGGGGTGAGCCGAGGATGCAAATACAATGCCCCGCCGGCGCCCCCCTGGATCCAGGAGGTGAGAGCATGCGGGCTTGGTCCAGACCAGGGGGCGAGGCCGCCTCACCAGGCACGGTGATCCCCGGGGCACCGGGCTGGGGAAACAAAGCTGCAGGAAGCCGGGCGCGGCGAGGCACCCGCGCGCCACACAAAGCGGGGGATGCGCCCGGGGCGCAGGGGCCCGCGCACAAAGGCTCCGGGGCGCGCGCGGCTAGCGGTCCCTTAAGCCCCGCGTTGCCCGCCCCTGACCCGGGGCCTAGGGCCTCCGAGGGGACGCTGCGGTCGCAGGGCTGCAGCAGCCCGTCTTCCCCAGCCGCCCGGGTCCCCTTCCTCCGCGATCCCTCACAGATTTCAACAGTTCCCCAAAAGAAAGAGGGGGGGCGGGGCGGCGAGGACAGCGAGCCCCGACGACGGGCTGACCTTGTCCCTGAGCCCCTCCCGGACGGCAGCAGGACAGCAGGACCTGGAAGACGCCCAGCAGAAGGTTCACGGCAGCGGCCGTGCGGCGGTAGGCGCTGGACGGCGGGCGCCGGAGCCCCGCCATGCTGGTGCTCGCCGCGCTCGCAGCGATCTCGTTCTCTCGCTTGCTGGCGCCGCGGCCGC